GCGGGCGCAGCGCGGCGGAGGCCGGAGGAGCCGAGCCGGAGCCGGAGCCCGAGCGCGGCCGCCGCCTGCCGGGCCTCCCCTCGCCGCGGCCGGCCGCCGCGCTCCCGCCCGGGCGCCCAGCTATGTACTCCCCGTACTGCCTCACCCAGGTACCGGCCGCCGCCCCTGGGCGACCGGGGAAGGGAGCGGGCGCAGGAGGCCGGCGGGCGGGCGGGCGGGCGGGCGGCAGGAGGGGGCGCGCGGCGGCCCGGGGGGAGTGAGCCTGCGGGCGGCCGAGGGGTGCAAGCCGTGCTGTGGGCAGTCCTCGCACGCATGCAGGCGTCACGGTGCGCGTGCGACCCTGGTCACCGGGCGGACTTCTGGTGGGGGCTCTGGGGGTGGCCGGCTGCGTGCGTGGCGCTGCCCCCGGAGCGAGGAGCGGGAGTGTGTGTGTGTGTGTGTGTGTGTGCGCGCGCGCGCTCGACTGGGGTGCGGTGGACTCCCGCCGACCGGTGGGCGACTGTAGCGTGCACCCGGGCAGCGTGGCCACTGGCAGCGGTTGCAGGGGTGACAGAGTGGCAGGGGGTGGTCCCGAGGGCGCAGCTCGGGGACTGGGTCCCGCGGCGCTCTATGGGGCTGGCGCAGCTTTTCCCGAGGGTGGCAGCGGCGGGTACGCGTGGCGGCGGCCCCTGCGTGCAGCCGGGGTGCCCGGGGCCGGCCGAGCGGCCCGGGCGTCGCCCCAAAGTCTTTGTTCAGGCCTCACATGGGAGCGGGGCTAAGAAAATGGCGGGGCTCCCAAATTTCGGAGGGTTAGGGGAGGGGAGGGAGGGACGGGCGCGCTGCCAGCCGGGGCCGCGCCTCTCGGCCGACCCTGGACGTCGCAGCCGCGGCCCCCCCCACCGCCCCAAACTTTCCTCGGCGCAAACTTTTTGGCCCCAGCTACCCCGGCTGCGGCGCGGTGGACCAGGCAGGCCGGGGGAATCCCGTCCTGCCGCCCAGAGGCGGGAGGGGCGGGAGGCAGCCGTGGATGTCGCGGACAGTGCTGCGGCCATGCCGTCGGGTCAGCGGCGGGCACCGCAGAGCCGACCTTGGCGCGCTGCGAGAGCAGAGCGCGTCCCGCCTCCAGCGAACTTCCCTGCGCGGCGCTCGGCGGCGGCAAAAGCGCGGGGGATGCCTGCCCTGCCACTCCACCTTCCCTGAGTTGTGGCCCCAGGCTCCGAGAGGGCACAAGAACCGTCCAGAGACCCACAGTAGCCCTGGCAGCACTGCCTGCGGGGCCAGGCTACTGCTGGCAACACGGACTCTGAAGAGGGGACACCTGGGGGCCGCCTAGCCCTGCCTGCCAGCAGGGCCTGTGTGTAAGGAGAGTCTTTAGGCCAGGCCTGGGGTCTTAATTATCTTCTCTGCCCAATCTGAGCCCTGTCAGCCTTCTGTCAAGTGTGCCCACAGATGGGAGTGGGAGTCCAAGTGAATATGGCTGCTACCAGGTGGCAGTGTGTGGCGAGGGGCAAGAGACTTTGTCGGGGTTGTGTGTCAGCCGCGGCCGCACCACTCTCCTATATCCACAGATGTGAGTGCGTATGTGTGTGTCAATCTTGGGGTCTGCATGTGGCTTCTATGGGTTGGCGGGGGCAGGCCTGCATGGTATGGATGTATGTGTGGCCCAGGGAGCAGGGTTTCCTGTACAAAACTGGGTGTGAGTGTTGGTGAGGGTACACAGGCACGCATGTAGGTGTAAGGTGTAAGTAGGCACTCTGGCCACTGTGGCAGCGTGGGGGGCCACAGACCCCCATCTGTGCCTCTGACTGACCAATCGCTCTATCTTGGGCCGCATGACAACCCTGCCCACCTAGTGGGGTCTGAGCTGTGGTTGCCTTTGGGGCTATGCTTGGCTGGACTATGTGCTGGTGTTTGGGGGGCCTAGTGGGATCAAGACCCCATGCTAGAGTAGCCCCTTGCCCACCAGTTACCCTCCCAGCAGCCTGGCCTGCCCCCTGAGACCTGGGTAGGACTTGTGCTCCTGGGAAAGAAAATGCTAGCCAGTTCATTGGTGATAAGACTAGGAAGGGGCTGGGGTAGCACCCAGACTCAGGGCCATGGCCAAGGCTTGACTCTGTGACACCCCAGAAGGGAGCAAGAGCTCAGCTCCGTGTCACAGGCCTGAGTGTGCCAGGGTGGATGGAGAGGAGAGTGGGCATGGTCTCTCTCTGGGTTGTACCCCTCAGCTCTGTGCAGACGACTGCTGTCAGCTGGTCAGCAGGGTCTGGTCTGCCCCTCCCGACAGTCACATCTCTTGGATCCAGAGTCCCTGTTTTTACAAATCTTTCTGCTTCCATAATTTGCCCTGCCAGTCTCTGTCTTTTTCTCTGCCTCTGTCTCTATATCTGGTTGCTCTGCCCCTTTTCTGTCTTTCTCTCTCTCTCTCTTAGCCTCTGTCCTTCTATATCTTTGACTGTCCCTGTCTCTCCCTGTCTCTGTCTCTGACTGGTTCTGGCACCATCTCTGCTTCCCCCCCCCCCCCACGAGTCTCGGACTCTCTCTGTCTCTCTGGCCTCTCTCTTTCTCTCCCCCTTTTCTTTTTTTCAAACCAGAATTGGCTTCGATTTTAAAGTCAATAAATGATTGAGCAGGAACGAGCTTGGAGCAGCGGGGCCCTGGCGGGGAAAGGCACTGTGGGCGAGGGGGAAGGGCGGGGGGTGGGGGGGGGAAATCTCCTTCTGGAAAAAGCATCGAAATCCAGGGCGGCTGGGCGGGGCGCTTGCTGGCGCTGCTTGAGCCCACTGCAGCCCTAGGCCTGAGTCCTTGGCAGACAGGAGGGGGTGGATGGATGGGACCCCTTCCCCAACAAACAGACACACACCAGAATGAGGACATACATATATACATCACTGCCACCCCCAAAATGGGGACATAAATGACCTGCTCATGCTGATCATCCAGACACATGGCCATGGAGGAACCTACAGACACAGGAAATGGTGGACCTGTGTTCGCTCCCACCCACAACACACACACAGATAAACACACACACACACACACACACACACACACACGCAGCCCCCCCTTGACATGGGACATATATATCGACGTAGGCTCACGGAGACACAGCAATACCTCCCAGATATGCTCTGACTCAAGTGTGTGTTCACCCCTGCGCTTGCGCACACTGACTCAAGGACAGATGGATGGACAGACACACGCTTTTATATAAGACATAATGCTGTTGGCTCACCTGGGTGTTTACGTAGACATGCACACTTGCCGACATTTCCTGCCACACAGCCACATGAGCAGCAGAATATTCACGCTCTCTGCGGCCACACACACAGTCCTTCCGGGGAAGGGGCTATGGGCTGGGGCCTCCCTGAAGCCCCCGCCTCAGCTGTCTCCTTGGGGCACTGTGGCCACCTCTCTGTCCCCATGATGCTGTTGCTCCCCGTCCTAGCACAGTGTAGGGCCCCCTTTTAATGGTGCCTTTTCTCCTTGGCTCTGGCCCTGCCTGCTTCTTGCCCACTTCTGGGATGGGACGTGTGTGCAGGCAGGAGCTGGGATGGGGCAGGCCATGCTGGGGGCTAGGTTGGCCTCCGTTAGATGTTTTGAGGCTGGACCAGGCCACGCTTGGAGCCAAGGGCTCTGCTGGGTTAATTTGAGGAGCAGGATGCTCCCCTCTTGCTGGGTGCTGGAGTCAGGGGTCCTTGCTGAGCCAGGAATGTCTTGTGTGGCCTCAGGAGTCCCAGATGGAGGCTGTGGGTGCAGAGGTCAAGAATTGGGCTTTGTCATTAGATGGCACAGGGTTTGAACTCTGGTTCTGCATCTCCTAATCCTGTGATTTGAACTGCAGATTTTCCTGGTCCATAAAATGCGTAATAATAGCACCTATTGCTCAGGCTGTGATGAGGCTTAGCGCAGTGTCTGGCCTGTAGCATGTGTTCAGGAAATGGAATGACTTGTAGTCATCTTGGTTATCATCATTAGGTCACCCCCTAGGCCTTCCCAACTGAGGGAAGAGTACTTCTGGGAGGCGGGGTGGAAGGTAGGGTGGAGCACTTCCCAACCATAGAAGTCCGAATAGACTGCCTGGAGGAGGAAGCAAGCAAAGAGTTTGGGAGGAGGGAAGCCAGCTCATGGCCCAGCTACTTTCCCTTGGGTGGAGTCCCATCAGCCAGGCAGAGGGCAGCAGGGGTTCAAGGCAAGGAGAGATGATGGTGGGGGAGGGTGGGGGCGGGAGGGGAGAGACAAGCCCTGCACTACCCCGTGGGGACCAGATACCTTTTTGGGGGCCACTGGCTGCCCTGACCCTTTCCCTAGTCTTGACTCTGACCTCAACCAGACCCACTTTGGGGCTGGGCTCTGAGGACTTGTTCTGGGGCATGCAGGAGTGTGTGTGTGTGTGTGTGTGTGTGTACATGAGTGTCCATACGTTAGAGGAGCAAAGAGCCTGGAGATGGGGGTGGGTCCTGATGATGGTTTCAGGGATGTCTGTGTGGCTCCAGAGCTGTTTCTGCATTTGCACGCGAGTGGTGTCACCCAGGTCCACCATGGGGCTAGGATGCATATGGGGGATCCTATGTGGGCAGCTGGCAGGGTCAGGCAGTCACCATGGGTGTGTGCAGGGGCTGGACACACAGCTGTGGCTGCCGGTGAAACTCCCCTGGTAGTGAGTGTCTGATCGCTGGCTTCCATGTTCAACCTGCTGAGAGCCTGGCCTTTTTGGTCGGCTTGGTCCTTGTTCTCTCTGCTCTTGAAGCGCAAATTTGGGGTCTCTCACTTCCCTCCAGCTGGACCAAGAGAGGCAGAGGACGCACAGACACCTGTGTTTTCCTCCAACAAAGTGCTGAGGATGGGGCTCCTGTTCCCCCCGACACCACCCCCCCGCAGCTGGGGTAGGGGAAAGAAGGGTGTGTATTCATTTTCCTGTCCCCAAAGCCCCAGATGTGGAGGCAGAGGAGCCAGGAGGATGGCTGTGAATGGCTAACTGGGTTCTCCCTGATCCGCATGTGTTCACTGGTGTGTTGGGCTTTAGAGCCACCATTTTGCTGCAGATGGCCATGTGGCCGCGAACGTCTGCATGGGTCCCTCTGCAAGTGTCCCTATGTCTCCATGTGTCCGTTATTGGGTGCTGCCTGCCTGTGTCTCCAAGGGTCATCCCACACTCCACCTCTGTGTATCC